GCCCGCCAATCCGAGGATTAGGGTTTTTCTTCTGACCGCCATTTTCTTTACTTTTCTCTTTCCGTTTCTTTGAATTTGGATGGAATTTGATTGATTCTGATGATCTCTTTGTATATAAGAGCTTAGGTTAAGATTTAGAACCCTCATTTGGCGAGGGTATTGTTGATGAAGAACGAATAATTGAGAGAGACGAAGAAGCACTTTTTTTTTGTTTCATATATTACTCCGGACAAATTTTCAAAACCAACCCATTTGAGATTTTATTCTCAAAAAACGACCCGTTTGACATTTATTTAGAGAAACCGACCTGGTTTCAGCACTGTAGCTGAAACCAGGTCGGTTTTTCTAAAAAAGTTTACGAAACTTCACGGGAGTTCAACTCCCGTGAAGTTTTTTCTCATAACAAAACTTCACGGGAGTTGAACTCCCGTGAAGTTTCGTAAACTTTTTTAGAAAAACCGACCTGGTTTCAGCTACAGTGCTGAAACCAGGTCGGTTTCTCTAAATAAATGTCAAACGGGTCGTTTTTTGCAATTAGTTTCTCAAATAGGTTGGTTTTGAAAATTTGTCCATATTACTCCCTCAAATGGCTAATATTTCCATATTTGTAATTCAAACCTTTGAAATTGCCCATAAGCCCCTCAAATTGTAAGGGTCTTGCAAAATGGTCCCTCAATGACCAAAATGCCCCTTATCGTACGTTTTTGTGAAACACAAGGTTTTTTAAACCCAGTTCGGCCTGCGGGGCACTCCAGTGGCGTGAGGGTCTAAGAGCATCTCCAATAGCTTCTCTATCTCATATCCTTGCGTAAATCTAGGGAGTATGAGGGGAAAATTTGGCTCCAACAAGCTCCCTATAATGAAGACTAAATATAGGGCTTATGATTTGGTATTTCAAATCAAAGACAAGAAATGACTCTCTATATTTAGTCTCAACATAAAGAGCATTGTTGGATTAATTTTCCCCCCTCATACTCCCTATATTTAGTCTAGGACATGAGATAGAGAGCCATTTGGGGAGCATTGTTGGAGCACTTGCTCATTATTTGGCTCCCTATTTTCTAGGATGAGAGATTTGCTCCTCAAATATAGGAAAAACTTAAGATCATTTTTGGAGATGCTCTAAAGCATATGTCCCAGAATCCCTCCACCAGTAGGGAAGTCAGAATCTTATCCCGGTGTCTCATATAACTTATCAAGGTTGTATTTAGAATCTATTATGACTTTACAAGTTTATCCTCCACAGTGGTGTCCAATCCAAATCTCATTGGCATCCTAAGTAATAAATGCAAGTAAAAAATAACTAAAATTCCTATAAATTAAGAAATTTAGTGGTGCCTTGTGACATCACTAGGCACTACGTAACTACGACACTACTTTCTACCATAGCGGAATTAAGGTGCGATTCACTTTCCATGGGGTTTTACGATTGTGGGTTTAGGGGGGAAACATAAGATGAGAGCATTTTGGTCATTAAGGGGCCAAATTAAGAGTTTACGTCCAATAAAACTGACACCTAAAACTAAAATTTAACAATAACCTGTTAACTTAAAATCCATAATCCATAAAATTAACAGTTAAACTCTAAAGTTAACAACGGGACAAGTCAACAACCAATGGGTTTTATAATGAATCTGCAATCGTGTAATAAATGGTGGCAGAGCTAGAGGTGGTTAGATTTGGGCTTCCATTAGCGTGAAACCTAGGATAGAATTAGAAAAGCATTATTTGCGAGACTAATTAATTATGAGAGTTTGATGCAACTTTATGTGCAAAGGGATGCTGATCGTAGCCCATTGGGTACCAATGGTCGGAGATTGCCTCCACTTGATCAATCTAAGATGGATTATGAGCTCATTCACATGTATAGAGGAAGGAACACGTTGCTGATGCGCTCACCGACACGGTAGCGGAGTCTTTGGATGCTGTTAGCACTTTGGACGAAATCTCCCCTTCAATTAGAAGCCCACTTTTTTGGTGATTGTATTGGTGTTGCCTTCCCTCGAAGTGTTAGGGTGGAGTGGTGTTTCTAAACTAACATTCATTGCATAAACTTAACCGTTATGTTATAAACTTAACATACAACGAGCAAAGTTAACACCAACTAGGTAAAATTCATAGACAATCCTTCATAGTTCATTGTCAACTTATACAATTACCTCATTAACTTTCCAAACAACCATTTACAAATATCAGGAAAATGTTACACACAAAAAATAATCTATCCAACTAAAATCTGATAAAACATTTTTCCTATTGTGATTTACAATATATAATTATAGTTCAGATGATTGTTATTTTAAGTGTTTGTATTCTTTGTATGTTTAAGATTATGTACTTTGATATTTGATATTTGTTAGTCTCTTAGAAAACTTTGTAAAAATGATTGTTGGGTTTAGAATAATTCAGAACATTAAGGTATGCATACATGAGGTTAAACTGCTTCCTTACATCCTCCAACAGGTACATGAGGTTAAACTGCTTCCTTACATACTCCAACAGGTATATGAGTCTAAACTGTTTCCTTTCTTCAAGGGAAGTTCCTGGAGAATACCATGCCTGATATTCTTAAGGATAACCCGGACACCCAACTGAGTACAATACCAGACCCAGTTTTGCAAAGGAAGCTGGGGGTGGATGATTCATGTAACGGGAAGTTCCCAAAAGAAATCCATATAGTGTATTCTTAGGGATAATCCGGTCACCACAGCAAGATGATGAATAAGAAACTCCCATTCAAATTATCACCGCGTCTGTGCACTCAACACTCTCCCCCTCTCAATTCCCCCAATGAACGAGAGGTCCACAAATCGAGCGATCAAACCTTCCTACAGTTAGGATCGTCTCAAACCTCCCAATTGGTCAAACCTTCTTACAGTTAGGACCACAGTCAAAATCCCCTCTCGATTCCTCCAATGAACGAGAGGTCCACTTTCAAATCGAGTGATCAAACCTTCCAACAGTTAGGGTCACCTCAAACTCCTGTTTGGCCAAACCTTCCTACAGTTAGGGTCAAAACCATAATTCACTCTCGATAAACGAGAAATTCACCTTTAGTTCGGTAATCAAACCTTCTGACAGTTAGGATCATCCGAAGTTTTCGATTCTCGGAGTGGAGGTCCCACTCCTAGTTTCATCGTTCCGGATTCTGGGGATGGAGATCCCACCTCGAGTCTCCTTTCCAGCTGAAGATAGAATATAAAATTCTTCTTCTTCAGTGTCGGGAGATAGAATATAAAATTCTTCCTAAATAGGATAGATTTACTTAATTAAGTTAATGAGAGGAAGATTAGTCATAATTTTAAAATTCTAATTGTTATCATACTCCATTTAAAAGCACGAGTTCGAGAAAATCTTTCGGTAGATAAAAATATCCTTGGAATTTAAATATTATTCTATTAAGTAAGAGTAAGTTGATAAATTGATGAATTCTTATTGGATATACATAGTATGGAGATAATGATACAATTTAAATTGAAATATAAATTTAAATAAGATTATTAAATACCAAATTTATAAATATCTACAAAATGAAGGGCGTATATGCAAAAACCAAATAAATTAATGAGACAAATAATGTCTACTTCAAATGTCAAACCCGGGAACAACGTAGACCTACAATTGTACATAATGTGGATGTGATATTTACAAAATCCACCAAACAAATTAAAGAGACAAAAATCATTCTTAAAATTATAAAAAACAAAAATTAAGGAAATATATATATAATACTCCCTTTAAAAGCACGAGTTCGAAAAAATCTTTCGGTTGACAAAAATACCCTTGGAATTTAAATATTATTCCATTAAGAGTAAGTTGATAAATTGATGAATTCTTATTGGATATACATAGTATGAAGATAATGATACAACTTAAATTGAAATATAAATCTAAATAAAATTATTAAATACCAAGTTCATAAATGTCTACAAAATAAAGGGCATATATGCAAAAACTAAATAAATTAATTAGATAAATATTGTCTACCCCAAAGGTCAAACCCGAGAACAACGTAGACCTACAAATGTACATAATATGGATGAGATATTTACAAAATCCACCGAACAAATTAAAGAGACAAAAGTCATTCTCCAAATTATAAAAAATTAAGGAAAATAAAAAATCATATTCCCTTTAAAAGCACGAGTCCGGTAAAATCTTTCGATAGACAAAAATATCCTTGGAATTCAAATATTATTTCATTAAGTAAGAGTATGTTGATAAATTGATGGATTCTTATTAGATATACATAGTATGAAGATAATGATACAATTTAAATTGATATGTAAATCTACATAAAATTATTAAATACCAAATTTATAAATGTCTACAAAATGAAGGGCGTATATGCAAAAAATAAATAAATTAATGAGACAAATAATATCTACCCCAAAGGTCGAACCCGAGAACAATGTAGACTTACAAATGTACATAATGTGGATGAGATATTTACAAAATCCACCAAACAAATTAAAGAGATAAAAGTCATTCTCAAAATTATAAAAAAGAAAAATTAAGGAAAATAAAAAAATCATATTCTCTTTAAAAGCACGAGTTCAGAAAAACTTTCCATAGTTAAAATTATACTGTACTATTTTAAATATTTAATTTAAATTATAATTGATAATCATATTTTATTATAATTTTATACCCTCATTATCTATTTTTAATAAATAAATATACCACTAATAATTATTTTTATCTTTAATTGGTTAATGAAGAATAAATTTTAAAAAATCTCATCTCTCATCAAAAGCCCTTGATTTAATGAAAAAATAAAGCAAAAGAGAAATCAAGAAGCCCATTGGAAAATTAAATTACCAATTTGTCCAAAAGCCCAAAGCAAAAGAATCAAGCCATGAATAATGAAGCCCAAAACGCCAAAGCCCATGAAGCAAAGCCTTACTTCTTGTATGCATTATGAACAATCCAAAATCAAGCCAGAAGCCCATGAAGCAAAAGCCGAGAACCAAAACAATGAAGCATGAATCATGAAGAAATGAAGCAAAGCTCAAAGGAAAATCAAGAAGCCCAATAGAAAATCAACAAGCAAAAAGGTCCAAGAATCCAAGCCCAAAAGCTCAAAGACTAAAAATAATTCCTTAGGGCTTAAGTCTTTATCCAAGGGCTCTCATTCATTGTTGTTTACTATAAATAGGGGTAGAGAGTGAGGGGTTAAGTGTGTAAAAATTTTTATAACTCTTTTTGGAGAGGAGGGCTACTCTTAATTGAGAAGGCCTTCCAAATTTATAACTTTTGTTATAATTAATAAAATAATTTTTTACCACTTTAAATTTTTCTCTTCTTCTCTTTGTTGGATGATGAAGATGAAGATGAAGATGGAGAATTATTTGAAGGTTTGCATTTCTTTTCTTTTTCTCTTTTATTTCTCTTTTATTGCTTATTAGTTTAGATTTATTTCTATGCTTGTAGTTAGATTTTATTTTCTTGTTAAAGTCTTAGATTTATTTCATGCTTATAAATTAGATTTATTTCATGCTTATAGAGTAGATTTATTTTCTTGCATTTAATTCTTATAATTTATTTTATAGTTTAGATTTTACAATTTATTTTGTAGTTAGATTTTAATTTCTTGTACTATTCACCTTGAGGCTAGAACCCTCTTGGGTTTAGTTTTTCTTTTTGTTCATTTTTTTTTCTTTTATTCGCCTTTAGGCTAGAACCCTCTAGGGAATCACCTTTTTCTAAGAAGTGGATTCAATTCTAGATTCGCCTTTAGGCTAGAACCCTCTAGGGAATCACCTTTTTCTAAGAAGTGGATTCAATTCTAGATTACCAATATCTTTAATTTAATCTGTTATCTTTACATTCTTGATTTTTATTTGTTCTTGATTTTTCCTTCTTACCTTGTTGATCACATTTATATTATCACTTCCACTCTCAAATATATTCATTTACACAATCATTTTCATTCTCTCCATCTCTCCACAATCACATTCACTCATCACTCCTTTTTGTCACGCACACAACATAAGAACCGATTTTATATTTTCTCCTACAAAACACCTTTCTGGTGGGATCGATAACTTTTTATACTATAACTTGATACGGTTGTGCACTTGTAACATTTTTGGTACATGTTTATGCCGCATCAATAATCTATACTAATCATACTTATATCATATCCTAAACCCCATGAACTATCTATAGCTCAACAATTTAAATAAGAATAATAAAATATATAAAACATCTCCGTACTATTAGTTTATTACATGAAGTATTACAAAAAAAATTGAAAATTAGACAAAATACTCTCAAAATTTTAAAATTACACAAAATAAAAAACTAAAAATTTAGAACTTGGCAAAAAAAAAGAGTAATTGTGTGATATTTTTTTATTAAGATATATAAATATAACTTATAATTTAAGGTTTACTATCCCTTTTCAGAATCTAAAAGTAGTCAAGTTGGTACTGGTAGAAAATAGTAATAATAACAGATTAAAAACATCCAGTTAAATAATAAAAAAATTTAAAAAAATATATGATAGATTAAAAATTAATGTTATTGTATAAATTAAAGTAACTGCATATAATTTTATCAATATGTTAGAATACCAAAAATACATAAGTATCATTAATTGATAGAAGACTAAATCACAAAAAACTGATAAAAGATTATAATATAATAGCTTAACATTAATTAATTATAATTTATAAATATTGATCTCTAATGGAAATAATATTTATTAGGTAAAAATTTATAAAGATTTATGTATGGAGAATTATTAAAAAATTTAGAGATATCCTTCAAAAGAATCAAGCGGTTTTAATTTTAAATGAAATTCAGAACGTCCATGAATCACTTCAATTAACACTAACATAAGTTATATTTATCAAAGAAATACCGATTGAATATCCCCTCAAGAATATATTGAACAATTTTGTGCTCATCAAAGAAACATTATTCATATAAGATAAAAGAAAAATTACTATACTTTGCGTAAGCAAAAAAATATAAAATCAACCTTTTTTTTCTTATATAGTATCACGACCCTACGTGTGACTTTATTTAAGGGTATGACTACTAAAGAATGATCAATTCTTAAAGGCACTATCAAAGATAATGTTGTAATAGCACTATTAGAATTCAAGATCTCTAAGTATGAAGATAGTATATTTTATTAGTAAAATTCTTATTAAAGACCACTAAATATAAAATTTACCTTATATCTATCTCAAATTTATAGAGGAGATATGCATGTCATCGTAAATTGTGTCAATAATATATATCAATCCAAAGATATAACTTACTGAAGAAATAAGAGAATAGTAAGTAAACCAAGTAAACATCAATATAACACCGTAAAGAAAAAATATTATATTTTAAAGCTAATATGTAGCGCTATTTTAGAGTAAGTTGCCAAGACAAAAACATCTCCATTAAGGCTCTTTATAAATGCAACAGAAATTCAAATTACTAATAGATACAACCATTATAACATTTGAAAGATGTATGATCTTAGAAAACCTACTCTAAACTTCATACAATTAAACATAAGAATAATTTACCAATATACAGGCACACTATCGTATCTTCAAGGCAACGATAACTACCATTTATAATAAAGTTGAGGAGTGATTCTATGTTTGCAAAGGCTGCAATAAGAAATTGGATAAAGATGTTAATAATAAGTGTCCAGATGATAAATATTGTAGAATCGCCAATGATTTAGTACCAAGGTTAAGTGATATCACTTCTTCATGAAAAAAATATATCAAAATTAAATATTAATATTATAATCTAAAGCAAACTAATAATGAAAATTTTAATGTATTAAGTTCAGATCCTCATGGAAAACAACACAGACAGAGCAAATGTAACATTACGACACAACAGAAATTCTTATTGGATGCACAACAGAATAATTCATTGCAGAGAATCTCCTAACCTTATTTAAGAGCATAAAAAGTTTCATATATATGAAATTAACAAGTATTCTTATTAAAATAGGGAAAAAATCCAAAGTACGTATTGTTAGAAGTTTGTGTTGAATATAATAAATATATTCAACTTCTTTTTTAATTTAGACGAGAAGACAAAAGATGAATGAGCCAAAGGAAAGATAACATGCTCCAGTCTCATATCAAAATCGATGTAGACGATGAAGACACTACTACTCCAGAATTGGCTAGGAAAAAGGTAAATATGAAGAAGGATTGATCTCGACTTAATAAAAAATAAAATAGAAGTAACAAAAGATAATGTTTTGTGAATTGTTATAGAATAGTTTTATTTTTTAGTAAAATTAGGAATCTTTAGAAGGGATTTTCATAAACTATTTTTAGTGATTTCATATGCATATGTGGATGTTTTTATCATATAAAAGTGTACTAGAGTTGCATTAATCTTCAGTTTATGATTTTTTCATTAACCATTTTCTGCTATTTTAGCCCACTTTAAATCAATCATCTTGGCTTGTTACCTTTATTATTCATCTTCCTTTTATAATGTTATTTTTTCAAGTGTTTTCACTTTCATAACACTATACTTCCTCAGGTCAAGCTTGGTTTCATGCCGATCCAAATGAAATAAAAATTTAAATTGACTTTAGATTATATTTATCTCCTAACAATTCAACTATCGACATAAAACTTTAAACTGGATGTAGCCTATTCAAACAAATATCAAAAAATTAAATAATCAAAGTGTAATCGAGGAACAAATTTTAGTAAGAAAATAAACCAAAATTACTTAATCAAAGTGAGCAAAAATTATTATCAAAGGGTAACCGATGAATAAATTTTAGTAAGAAAATAAATCAAAAGTACATAATCATAGTATTTAACAACGTGCATTACACGTGCATAAAATCTAGTATATATATATTTCGTAAATCAAAATTCCTATACAAATATGTAAAACCAAAAAATTTCAGCTTTGTAAATAAATATACGTCTACAATTAGGAATGCAGACAGTATTGGGCCTGGTTTGGGCTTAGTCCAAAAAGAAAAAGTATCCGCATCGAAGCAGTACTCGTCACTGTCTTACCACGGAGAGCGGTACAAGAACCCGAAAACAAACAGAAAAGCTAGGGCTCTTTTCCCGCCCTTTTTTTTCTCTCCGACGAGTTAGCGTCAATGGCGGGATGGAGTCGATCCTCGAGCTCTCCGGCGAAGAATCTCCTCCCTTCTCAGGAGCTCCTCGATGATCTCTGCAGGTTTCACCATTCCTCTTTTTCTTCAATTTTTCGTTCGAATTTTGCTTTCGATTCCTAAAAATTCCCCCATTTTTGTTGCAGTCGCTTCGTTCTGAACGCTCCAAAAGAGGATCTTGAATCGTTCGAGAGGATCTTGTTCCTCCTCGAGCTAGCCCACTGGTTTTATGAAGACAACTCCGTTGAGCAGAATCCCTCGCTCAAATCTCTCTCCTTCAAGGAATTTACATCACTCAGTATCCAGCAAATTTTTCAATTTTTTTTCCATGTTAGACCCTAAATTATTAATAAAATGTATATCAGTTGCTCAAATCTTGATATTTCTAGCCTACTCCCCCAAAATTATTACAAATAGAGTTTTGTTTATAGTGGACCCTAAATTCTTTCTTAATTTTATATTAGGGTCCCTCAGATCTTCATGTTTCTAAATAACACCTCCAACTCTCTTAATTCCAAGAGTTTGATCATATATGGTAACAATTATGGATGGGCGTTTAAAGAATTGGGAGTGTAAATTAGAAATATAAAGATTTGGAGTCCTAATAACCTATTGAGAAAGGATTTATATTCTATATTGAGAAAGGGTTTATATTCTATTATGTCAAAAGCCCTTCTTTTTATTGCACTAGCTTGAGCTTGTAAAAACTTGAATAGTCTTATTAGTTATTGTAGAATGTTTAGTGTCATTTCCTTATTGAGTTTATAGTGTTTAAAAGTTGTGCTGCATTGAGGCCGTATATTGCGTATATTGATGATATTTACAAGGATTTCACTTCGTACAAGTATCGGGTACCAGTGATGGGTGCAATCATCTTAGATGAGACTTATGAATGGGTAAGCTTGTTTTGAATTCGAGGGATGTTTTTTTTTCTTTTTCCTTTTTAGTTCTAAAGAATGCTCAGATAAATTTCATGTTTAGATTGTAGAGTAGTAGCTTTTATACGACATCTTACATCCCAGATTATAATTTTACCCGCTTCTTTCTCCTTTTTTGTTAATGAATTGACCTGTATAGGATATTTTTTGTTGTGAACATGATATTTTAGCATCTTGATTTGGTACATCACAGTTTCGGGGGGCAAAAGATCGTATATGAGCCATAAAATCATTTATGTACCACTACCATTTTTAAATCAATCCAGAGAATACATGAAATCAGCACAAATGATTAAAAAATCAATTGAAGTATAATGTTGAATCAGTGCAAGTACCAATGTTAAAATTAGTGCTTGGACAGTGTAAGATTCTCCTTCCTCTTTATGATTTTCTACAGTGAGCCCTCTGATTGGGTTTTCCTCCCATGTTTCTGTGGTGTTAATATTTGATTCAGATTTTTGGCCTGCAGTGGGCGTTAATTGTTCAAGCTGAACATAATCCCATAAAGAAGAATGTATAGTCTTACAACTTTGTCATGGCTCTTTCCATTTGTTAGCAGTATTGGAATTCGCTTTTTGGTTATATGAACTGAGATTGTCACTATAAAAGACAGGTCCCTATCTGCTCAGAATCCATCAAAACATGTTGTATTAGACTGTTGCTTATGTTTGTCTTGGCTTGGAAGTCAGCATTAACTTAAGAGGGTTTCACTCAAGGCCAAGAACTGGTATAATCTGATCAACTCTTTGGGTTATGGAAATATAAGTCTTTTCTCCCACATGAAACCACTTTTTACCCCCATATCATATCGACTACAGAGCAATGGATGTAAAAAACTTAATCTCTTGTAAAGGTTTGTTGTGTTTTGACATTCTTTCTATCAATTTTCTTTCTTGTACCACTCTAGGAAAGTTTGTTTGTTTGTTTTTTTTATTTACCTTGTATAATTATCATGTTCAATGGATCATGTTCTTCATATTGATGTGTGTATAGCTCTTAGAGGCCAGCTCGCACCTGTGAATGAATTTTTTATGTACTCTTACTCCTCTTGCAAGTGTGTTAGCTATATTTGCTTCAAGACATGAAATTAAGTCCTCACCCGAGCTTATATTCACATCCTAAATGTGATCCCAAATAATGTATTAGGAATACAGACATCATTTATCATCTGCATATGACCTACACACTGATTTTTAATCGCTAAAAGTAGGAATTGCGTTATTGCTTTTAGTTGGTCAGGACTGAGTGAAAGATTAATGAGAAACTTAACCATTACTTTTCATATTAGTTCCATTATTAAGTGGTTAAAAAGACACAAAACAAATCACTCCTGTAGAAAATAGTTTGAAAAATGAAACATAGTCTTTATATTTCATGCATTTTCTTTACTACCTATCCTATCAGTTAAACAGTTTTTCTAAGATTCTGATTTTTAATTCTCAAAGTTAGAAAATTTGAACATTCATATGAAGAAGTTGGAGGAGTACTTTCTTAAAAGTAACCTTTTATATTTTCCTTCATGCAAGCAATTAATGTTCACTCTTATTCCTGCAGTGTGTACTTGTGAAAGGCTGGAAAGCTGGTGCCAGCTGGAGTTTTCCCCGTGGCAAAAGGGCAAAATACGAGGAAGATCATATGTGTGCTGTACGAGAAGTAAATAAACTTCATGAACCTCCATTTCTAATTACTGCTCGTACATTACTGTATCATCTTCTGTAGTTTTCACAACTACCCTTAACTGCTGGATTACTCCATATTTAATGTTTTCAGGAGGGGGGTTCCTTGTGTTGGAAATAGATATGCTACAGGTGAAATTTGAAATAGAAGAAAAATAACTGCATAAATGTAAGGAAACAATAGCTAGATAACAGGAAATCTTAGTTATGCACCAAAAAACGTTAAGCGCATCAAGTATGTTCTACCTGTCGTTACTAGCTCTGTAGCCCAGTCTCCGCATACTGTCATTTAGGAGTGCATATGTTTTTTGTGCTGGAGTATCTTGAAATGAATATATTTTTTTCTGATTTATTAATAATTTGGATCTTCCTTGTGTATATTTTTGGTGTAGTTGTGTGTTTTCTGTTGTTAATCACCATTATCTTTTTGAGTCCAAAACTTATCACATAATGTTTATTTGTGATCAATGTTAAAAATTAATTATGCAGGTTTTGGAAGAAACAGGATTTGATGTTTCTGAACTTCTAAAAGTGGATGATTATATTGAAGTTGTAATAGGGGAGCAGAGGGTTAGACTCTACATAATTACTGGGGTGAAGAAAGATACTGTCTTTGCACCTCTAACTAAAAAGGAGATCGGCGTGAGTATTTCATGAGGTTTTATGTACATCTTTTTGTCTATTTGTGTTCATAATTGTTTTGATGTAACGGGATATATACGTATGGTATTAAGATTGTAGGTAGCATGCATACATCTTTTTTATTCCCATGCATCTTTTTTATTCCCCTCCTTTCTGCTAATTTTAATGTAAAGAATTTCTTTGAATTGATGTTAGTCCGTTTTAGCTACAACTTTTTTTTTCCTTTAAAATTCCATGTTTCTGGAATTGCAGTATAACCTCTTTTGCAGATGTTTTTTCTGATATGTGAATTTATTTTGACACTTGCTTGCAAACAAACATTCATCGTTTGTGCATATCCCGGAATTTGCTTGTTAGCTGTTCCACTAATGAACAGTTCAGTAGGTCCTCCTTGCCTCCACCTTCACTTCATGAGCCTTACATTGATAATAGCTTTCTCTAGCTCTTGATATTCGTTTTCTTTGGTGAATCTCCTCATTATTCAACACTGTTATTGGGCATTGTATCACCAATACACCAGTGAAATTCAATTCACTTTCAAAGGGTGGCACTGACACCATAAAAGACATGGATTGATTACCAGAAGTCTTGCAGGCCAAGTTTCCAAGTGCTGCCATGCTATTTTCTACTCAGATTGCATATTTTCCTCGAACCCTTCTGTTCTTTTCTGCTAACCTGTTGTCCCAGTACAGAGATTCTTTTTCAATAACTTACAGAATTGTACACAGAACCGAAAATGACTAAATGAGTATGCATGGCTAGCTCAAGATTTCCTTCTGAACACATGTTATTTTATACCTTGTATTTATTGTTGCTCGTTCTTGTTTCGGTGATGCTACTGGAATCAGTCTGCTTTTTTCAATTACCATAATGCACACATGCTACATAACTTTAGCTAAAAACATGTAGTGTTACCCTACAGGAAATCTCATGGCACAGACTTGATGAACTTGACCCAGCAGGAGAAGATGCAAGGTCACGAGGAGTTAACGGGTTGAAGCTTTACATGGTCGCACCTTTTCTAACGTCAGTATCTCTTAAATCTTCAGTCCTTTATGCACAAATGTTTTTGTGTCACTTAATAACTGATAATTTTCCTTTGACAGGTCTCTAAGATCATGGATCTCAAGGCATTGTCCTCCTGTATCTAAGAATTCCATTGCGTCAAACAGAGGTTTGCTCCGTTTGTCCTTATTTTGTTTGCCTAGTGATAAGTACAACTTATAACAAAAAACTACTATCCACCTTACCCAAGGAACTAAGGGATAAATTCTCACAACACTATCATAAGTTTGGGTGATTTTGAACAAAACGATCTTATTTTCTTATTATTAGAGAAAACTATCTTGAATTTTCGAAAGTGTAGAAAAATATCGTGAACTATTGAAAACTGTTTCTATCAGCGTTAATTTCTTGGATAAAAGACTAACCCATCCTTATTTATGTCTATCAAGCACGAAGTTTATAAGGAAAATACAGAAGAGACATGAAGCACACAAGGGAAAATTCATCCAAAATATGTGTTTGCTTCACACATGAAACTCATCGTAGTTACCATCGGGCATGGTAGTTTGGTTAATAAAAAAAAGGGAAAAATGCTTCCAGCCCCCAAAACGAATGAAAACAAGCTTCTCACCCCCCAAGACTTTTTCAACGGTGCTTTGCCCCCAAAAGTAATTTTTTTGTTCTCTGAGCCCCCAAACACAAAGCCCAATGAATTTCACACAGGGAAAGACTATAATACCCATTCTCTCTCTCTCTAACCCTGCAATCCCTCTGCTCTCCCTCCTCCCTCCCCCACCTCTCCACCCGCCGCCGCCGCCCTCCTCCTGCCATCCTCACCTTCTCTGCCATCGTCGCTCCGGCCATCCACAGCATCCTTAAGATCCACAACGCGGAGAAAACCTCGGCGCGGTTCGAGGAGTACAAAGAGATAGTCCGCTCGAGGGCCGAGCGAAACTCCGGCGACGAGCGCTGCATAGCCGACGGGAACAAGCGACTGAGGTTTTACTGCTTCATGATTCTCTGTGAGCTGGGTTTCATGGGAGCGTGGGAGCGTGCGGGAGGACTCGCCCAACCCAAGAACAATAATAAGAAGAAGAAGGACAAGATTGATAGTAATTACAACCATGCCCCCTAACCTTGGTTGCTCCTGCTTTGGATGCTACAAGAGCTTCTGGGCTCGTTGGGATGCCTCACCCAACCGCCATGTCATCCACCTCATCCTCGATGCCTTTGAAGAGACCCTTGAATCGAAGGAGGCCAACAGCAAGTAGAAGAGGGGGTTGAAGAGTAAAAAGATTGATTTTGATGAGGTTTTGGCGAAAGAGATGAGCGCCCATGAGGAGAAAGTTGATGATGATGGCCATGATGATGGGTACAGACATGTTACTAATTACCAACGCTAAAACTATTACCACCAAAAAAACTTTAAAATAACCCAAATAAAAATATACCGGTTGCTTGTTAAAATTACTCCCCCATTAGAATGTCCTACATTGGTTGTTAAGATTATATTTTGGTTGTTAATGTTACGCGTTTGTTGTTAAGGTTACGTATTGGTTGTTAAGGTTATACAGGTTGCTTGTTAAGGTTACGGGTTGGTTGTTAAGAATATGCGTTGGTTGTTAAGGTTACGGGTTACTTGTTAAGGTTACGGATTTGTGTTAACGTTATACGGGTTGATTGTTAAGGTTACGAGTTTTTGCTTGTTTAACAACCAACTCGTAACCTTAATAACCAATCCGTAATCTTAACATCCAACCCGTAACCTTAACAACAAACGCGTAACCTTAACAACAAACGCGTAACTTTAACAAGCAACCTGTAACCTTAACAAACAACATGTATAACCTTAACAACCAACCCGTAACATTAACAACAAACACGTAACATTCATATTAACGGATCTTGAGGATCTCTCTGACCGATTATTAGGCTCTGAAAAACACGCTAATTGAAGAAAAATGTAAACTTGGACCTAACAAACAAGGTGAAATCTCGACATCACAATAACAGCAGAACAAGGACCAGTGAAGCAAACAAAATGCACCAAAACATCAAATCCAAGCTCGACGGGGGGAAAACGTGTTGATTCCGACAGAGAGATCCTGAGTGTTCTGTATATTTAGAGTAACTTTTAGACGATATAGGAAGTCTAGATGCACTATTTTTATGCATGTTGGCCCGCCCATCCATGTTAACGTCTTTAATAGGTAACCAAAATAAATTTATATATTTTTCAAGAACACTCGCTTTTTTTAATAACTCTTAATATGTCAACATCTTTTAATTAATATGCATGGCACTATTCACAACATTTCTCAAGCTTCAAGCTACGTTCAGGAGTTTACATATTTCTTCAATTAGCGTGTTTTTCAGAGCCTAACAATCCGACAGAGAGATCCTCAAGATCCGTTAATATGAAGGTTACGTGTTTGTTGTTAATGTTACGGGTTGGTTGTTAAGATTATACGTGTTGCTTGTTAAGGTTACGGGTTGCATGTTAAGGTTACGCCTTTTTGTTAATGTTAACTGGTTGCGTTGTTTTTAAGCTTACGGGTTTGATGGTTAAGATTACGGCTTGGTGTTAAGGTTAGAGTATTGGTTGTTAAACTTCACAGTATGCTAACAAGCAACCCATAACCTTAACAATCAAACCCTATAATGTAACACAATCCGTAACCTTAACAAGTAACCCGTAACCTTAACAACCAACGCGTAGTCTTAACAACCAACCCGTAACCTTAAACAAGCAACCTGTATAACATTAACAAACCAATACGAACCTTAACAACAAACGGTAACATTAACAACCAACATATAACCTTAACAACAATGTAGGACATTCTAATGGAGGAGTAATTTTAACAAGCAACCGGTATATTTTTATTTGGTTATTTTAAAGTTTTTTTGGTCGGTAATTAGTTTTAGCATTGGTAATTAGTAACATGCCCGCACCATCATCATGGCCATCATCATCAACTTTCTCCTCATGGGGCGCTCATCTCTTTCGCCAAAACCTCATCAAATCAATCTTTTTACTCTTCAACCCCCTCTTCTACTTGCTGTTGGCCTCCTTCGATTCAAGGTCTCTTCAAAAGCATCGAGGATGAGTGAGATGACATGACGGTGCGGTGAGGCATCCCAACGACCCAGAAGCTCTTGTAGCATCCAAAGCAGGAGCAACAAGGTTAGGGGCATGGTGAATTACTTATCAATCTTGTCCTCTTCTTCTTATTATTGTTCTTGGGTTGGCGAGTCCTCCCCACGCTCCCACGCTCCCATGAACAGGTCCTCCCACGCTCCCATGAACAGGTCCTCCGCCCGCTCCACGCTCCCATGAAACCCAGCTCGCTCGAGAATCATGAGAGAACCAGTAACAGAAAACCTCAGGTCGCTTGTTCCCGTCGGCTAGCAGCGCTCCGTCGCCGGAGTTTCTGCTCGGCCCTCGACGGACATCTCTTTGTACTCCGCGAACCCGCGCCGGGGTTTTCTCCGCGTTGTGGATCTTAAGGATGTTGTGGATGGCCGGAGCGACGATGGCAGAGAAGGTGAGGATGGCAGGAGGAGGGCGGCGGCGGCGGGTGGAGAGGTTGGGGAGGGAGGAGGGAGAGCAGAGGGATTGCAGGGTTAGAGAGAGAGAGAATGGGTATTATAGTCTTTCCCTGTGTGAAATTCATTGGGCTTTGTGTTTGGGGGCTCAGAGAACAAAAAATTTACTTTTGGGGGCAAAGCACCCGTTGAAAAAGTCTTGGGGGTGGGAAGCTTGTTTTCATTCGTTTTGGGGCTGGAAGTATTTTTCCCTAAAAAAAATTCATGGTAGTTTTCTCTAATAGAAAAACTTTATGTTTGTTTTGTGCAAAATACCCCAATGTTCATGGTAATTTTGTGAAATTGACCCAGGTAAACCGATTCAATAAATAAATTTCTGATAGTTACTTGATTATCTCTTGCTCAGCAATAGGACTTCGCAATTGATATCATTTCGACCTTGACTAGGCACATCCGTTTGGAAAGTGAAAGATAGTTCTGGAAGTGGAACAAGCATGCAAAATGCATTACAAAGAGTGGGTTCTGAGCCTCAAATTATCGATCTCGGTCCAGGTAAAAGCTTCAGAAACTTCAGGTTTGATACTATCAAAATCCTACAGTCCATGGAAGTTGCATTTGCTGCTAGTTGATGCATTTGTATTCGTCTAGTTGTATGTTTGTAAATATGCAACCGTCATGTTTTGGAGCCGAAAGAAGTGATCCATACGGTTGAAAAATATAGGTACAGTGGACAACCAACTTCGAGTAGCTGGTTATGAGGGAAACATGTAATCTTTGTTAAACTATTGCGCAAGTTTTTTCTCTGTTTCTTTGTCGATCAAAAAGACTATGGCGAGCTATCCAATTTCAGAAGAATTTAGACTTTTTTTGATTTAACGGTTAATCTCTGACGGGGAACAAACATGTAGTGTTGGTAGGAACTAGGCATAAAGAATATCTATGACACGGATTGTTAGATTTACATCTCTTCGGATAAGTACGAATACATTTAATAAGATTTCGTGTGGCATTTTTGGGTCTTAAAATCTTATATCCCGTGATCTTATATAATTTGAAAGGGGATGTTGGGTTTGAGTTGACAATTCTTAGCGAAGTGAGGTGTCAAGAAATGGAAATGATGTAGCTTATCACTTACCTACTTTAAAATCCATATATCAAGTGACACCTTATACACTTTTCCTTATTTTAAGAAACATTTTCCCACTTTAGTCATCATATCTTAATTATTTAAAAAAATTTCTGGGGATAAACACGTTCAGGTTTGCAACAAACGAAAGAAGTTGAACAAGAAAAAACAATGAAACACATGTGGAACCTTTTCTTTCCACTTCTTATCTCGTTGCAAGAAACACAAATGTCCATTCTTGTATGGCTGTAACAAACTAGAAAAACAATGAAAAGGATTGAAAATTTTGACAAAAGCATGAATAATTAAAAGCATATATACATATCCTTATCAACCACTAATGAATGCCAACAATGCGAGAGGTCAGCTGAAGAGGACAGTCGAGGGGCCCTGCTCCCAAAGTCTCCACAGTGACCTAACATTGAGCAAATGCATGTTTTTCTTGTTGAGGTGAGTGTTTGATAAAGATTGAATAGAATTTGCGATGATTTTGATCAAGTAGAAGAGATAATTTTAGAGTAAATTTCACAAAAAAAAAAAAAAAACAATCGTTGACGAAGATTGAATAGAATTTGCATTAGTCTTTAAAGATGACTATGATAAGGAGGATTTTTTTTTTTGAGATATGACATATTTAATTTTCTTTAAAATATAATGTTGTTTAATCAATAAAGATTACACACATCATCTACAACCATATATTTCATGTTATTGGATCATAATATTTACCAAAAATTTGATCCATAAATAAACTACCATTTATATTTTGCTGATATTTAAATGTGGAATATGCACCTACTTGGTTGATCAAGCTAAATGTATTTCATATCTTCAAAAAAAAAAAAAAAATTCCATTTTATTGCTCTGATTCCTCCATTTAAAACCCCCGTTTTTATTTAGCATCCTCATACATATGAAGGCAAAAAGAGAGAGGGAGAAATTATCAAATGGATCCGGATCAATCTTGGAATCCGGTTTTCGCCCAAATTGCATTTCTGACCCGACTCAGATCTCTCCCCTTCAACGTCCTCCCCATCCCTTCCACCACCGACAAAGACGCCGCCCTCCTCCTCATCACTACCTCATGTGGCGGCACAATTGCCTCCTCCCCCTCCTCCTCAAACCCTAGCTCCTGCAACATAATTTTTGGCCAATCAGGTATATTGACCGGTGTCGAACCCAAACGAGAGCCAGAGCCAGACCCAGTCTTAATCTTGCTCCATGCAGACCGTGACCACGGGACCGAAGATTTCTTATCGTCTTTCGATTCGTCGAAGCCAGAATTACTGAGAGAGCAAGAGCCGGAGGCAGAACGGACACGAGGGTCGGTCCTTCTCCCAGACCGCGGCCGGTGAACCGGAAATCTCTTGTCGGGTTTCGACGCGGAGTACTGGACGCACCAAACATCCGCTTCGTCGAACTCCTCCTCGGTCGGCGGGCCCACGATGCCCTCGGCCTTTCTCGGAGGGGAGAAGAGGCGGACGGTGTGCTTGAGGACTTGCTCGTGGTTCCTCGAACTGGCCGCCATTTTTGCGGACTGGTCCCCGGATTCTTGGAGGATTCGCTGCAGCGGTTGATTCCTGATGCGGGCTGAGTGGGAAAATTTGAACGTTGGAGAGCCGGTCTTATAGAGTTTGGAGTGTAGGGCCCGGTGAGCCACGTGGGAGAGGACGTGGATAAGGCTGCTTACATGAGATAAATTAAAGCACAATATAATAATAAGTTTTTTAATTTCCTTTTTCTTCTCGGCTTACACGAACGAAATTATGCTGTCGGGCTTTGCAGTGATACTGTTTATTTATGCTATTTAGTCCCATTTCACATCTTCGTTCTAAGTGTGTCTATTAAGCTGTGAACTCGCAACAACAGAGATGATTACAGGTGCTTAATTTGTTAGGATAAATTAAATTTGTAGAAAGAGATAATTGAGAGAGCAAAAACCCTAACTTCATTGATTTATTCAGATACTAGAGAGATATATATATAGTCATACAAATAGGGGTATGGTTAACGGGTCACAGCCCATTAACCCAATACCCAATAGACTTAATCTAACACTCCCCCTCAAGCTGGAGCATAAATATCCACCATGCCCAGCTTGTCACATATAGTAGAAAACACCTTTGAAGAAGTAGCCTTGGTAAGAATATCAGCAAGTTGTTGTGAGGACGGAGTGAATGTGAGAGATACTATCTTCTTCTCCCAAGCATCTCTGACAAAATTGCAGTCAACTTCAATATGTTTTGTCCTCTCATAAAACACAGGATTCTGTGCAATATAAATGGCAGACTGGTTGTCACAATGCATTGGCATGGGTCCAGACTGAACAAAACCAAGCTCTGTCATAAACTTTCTTAGCCACACCATCTCACAAGCAGTGTGAGCCATTGCTCTATATTCGGCCTCTGCACTAGATCGTGATACTACATCTTGTTTCTTACTTCTCCAAGTCACAAGATTACCTCCAACAAAAGTACAAAATCCTGAGGTTGACTTTCGGTCTCCAATGTCTCCTGCGTAGCCAGCATCAGAGAAAGCCGAAATGTGAGTATGCCCATGCTTCTTATATAACAATCCCTTGCCAGGACAATTTTTGACATATGCCAAAATTTTCAGAGCTGCTGTCCAATGAACCTCTCTAGGTTTGTGCATAAATCTACTCAGCACACCTACTGCAAAAGTAATATCAGGTCTGGTAACTGTCAAATATATTAGCTTCCCAATTAGTCTCCTATATCGTGCAGCATCATCTAGTAGAGAGGTATCATCACGCCACAAATCAACATTTGCCTCCATTGGAGTGCTTGCAGGTTTGCAGTCCAAGAGACCTGCTTCTTCTAGTAAATCTAGCACATACTTCCTTTGAGACAACAACAGACCATGTTTTTTATATGCAACTTCAATCCCAAGAAAATACTTTGGCTTTCCCATGTCCTTAGTGACAAAATGACGGTTTAGATACTCCTTAGTCTCAGCTAAGGCAACAGAGTCACTCCCAGTCAGCAGAATATCAACATATACGGCTAAAATAACCAAACCAGTTGTTGTGCGTCGAAGAAAGACAGAGTGATCAGACTGACAACGTTGAAAACCAACATTAGAAATAACCTTGCTGAACTTATCAAACCAAGCTCGAGGACTCTGCTTTAACCCATAGATGACCTTTCTCAACCTACAGATAATTTTCTTCCCCTGAGCAACATACCCAGGAGGTTGCTCCATATAAACCTCCTCGTCCAAATCACCATAAAGGAAAGCATTCTTCACATCTAGTTGGTGCATCGCCCAATCCATATTAACAGCCAGAGAGAAAAGAATTCTGATGGAGTTGAGACGAGCAACGGGAGAAAAGGTTTCAAAATAGTCAATACCATATGTCTGGGTATATCCTTTAGCAACCAGGCGAGCTTTATATCTATCAACAGACCCATCAGGACGATATTTCAAGGTATACACCCATCTGCAGCCAACCACAGTCGCTCCAGCAGGTAGAGAGACCAAATCCCAAGTCCCTCTAGAAAGCAGTGCATTCATCTCCTCATCCATAGCCTGTTTCCAGGCGGGTACTAACAAAGCTTCCTCATGTGACCTGGGTAAAGATATAGTGGACAATGACAAAGCAAACTGACGAAATGATGAGGTGAGACGGTCATAAGAGACAAAAAGAGAGATAGGATATTTTGGGCAAGACCGTTTACCTTTACGAAGAGCAATAGGAACATCTAAGTCAGAAGAGATATGAGGCTCGACATGAGATGGACCTGTAGCTGGAGAAGAAGAGTCAGCAGGAGCAGAGACATGTGTATGTACTTTAGGACGGCGAGAGTATGTCAGTAGAGGCTTTGGTGCAGTAGCCTCAGGAGCAGATACCTGAATAGTAGTGGGAGCCGTAGAAGGTAGTGGCACCTGTGGACTGACAGAGATAGTGGAACCAGAGGAAAAATATGGGACAGACTCAAAAAAGGTAACATCAGCAGAAACAAAATATCTCCTGGTGGTCGGATGATAGCACCTATACCCTTTTTGAGTACGTGAGTATCCAACAAACACACACTTAATGGACCTAGGAGACAATTTATCCAAACCAGCAGTCAAATCCTGAACAAAACACGTACAACCAAAAACTCGAGGAATCACAGAAAAACGTTTTTTAGCAGGATAAAGATAGTGGAATGGTATCAAACCATCAAGAACAGAGGAAGGCATGCGATTAATCAAATAACAGGCAGTGAGGACAGCATCCGACCACAAGTACTTTGGAATATTCATATGTATCATCAGTGTTCTAGCAACATCGAGAATATGTCTATGCTTCCTCTCAGCAACTCCATTTTGTTGTGAAGTGTGAGAGCATGAAGTTTGATGAATAATACCATTAAGAGCACAAAATTTTGAAACGTCATTTTTCATATATTCCAAAGCATTATCAGTACGAAGAATATGAACAGAAGTAGAGAACTGGGTTTTTATTTCATTATAAAAAAGTTTAATAACATGCGAGACTTCAGACCTCTCTTTCAACAAATATAGCCAAGTCATGCGAGAGAAATCATCAACAAAAACAATGAAATATCGAAAACCCTTCACAGAGGGAACACGACAAGGACCCCAGACATCAGAATGAACTAACTCAAACGCAAAACTACTGCGTTTATCGACACGACTCTGAAAAGAAGCACGATGGTGCTTACCCAGTTCACATGACTCACAACCTAAAGAAGAAAGGGAAGACTGAACAGTAACTACCGATCTAAGTTTCTGTAGTGAAGGATGACCCAGACGCCAGTGCCACAGTAAGGTAGAATCAGGCTGTGCTGCAACAAGACCAGCACCCGGCACACTGTCGTCCAAATAGTACATACCTCCTCTCTCATGCCCCGAACCAATCGTCATCCCAGTTGCTAGGTCCTGAAAAACACAATAAGAAGGAAAGAAGGTGACTTTACAGTTATTGTGCTTTGTAAACTTGCTAATGGATAATAAGCTAACAGGGAATTTAGGAGCATATAACACATCAGTGAGTTTCAAAGAGCAAGTAGCATGAACTACTCCAGCACCAAGAACTGGAGAAAGTGTACCATCAGCGATGCGAATAGAGAGAAGCTTATCAGAAAGATGTAAAGAGACAAAACGATCTTTTATACCTGTCATATGGGATGAGGCTCCAGAATCTAGTACCCATGGTTCATGAGGAGAAGCTATGTAAGCATCCATACCTGAAGAGGATGCATGAGTAGCCGAATGACTGTTCTGAGAGATCTCTAGCTGGCGTAACCTCTCATAATCTGCCTGAGAAATCTGAACAGTAGGAACAGTAGTAGCTGGATTACTAGAAATAATAGTAGAAATAGGTGAGCGAGTCGACTCGGCATCGGCTACTTGGGCCCATTGAGGACGACCAAACTTCTCCCAGCATTTCTCAGAAATATGATTGGTCCTCCCACAATGACCACACTGACGTGAACCCCTATCAGAATCACCCTGTCTCCCACTAAAAGAGCCACGTCCTCCCAAAGAATCACGACCACGACCACGACCGCGGCCTCTGCCTCTACTAGAGAACATGGCAGACTGATCCACTGAAGGTGGAGACGGTGCAGAAGTATCAGAAGAAACACCAGTAGAGACCTGCATGACTCTAGAGAATGTAGCAGTCAGTGAGGGGATGGTATCTCCACCCAATATCTGTCCTCTCACCTGGGACTGCAAGTTAGGGTGCAATCTAGAAAGAAACTTGGACACTGCCAAGTCACAGCGATATCCCAACAACGTCGCTGCATCAGCTACTGCAGGCTGATGCATCTCCAGTTCGTCTATCAGTCCCTTTAACTCACCAAAGAACTCCGGAACTGATCTATCTCCCTGTTTGAGCGTAAACAGTCGCTCATAAATCTCAAATACACGGGAAGCATTCTTCTCATTTCCGTACATAATCTTCAGGCTGTCCCACATCTCCTTCGCAGTGGTTAAGAACATAACACTGCTACTAATCTGCGGTTTTGTGCTGTTGAGGAGCCACGTCATAACACAATAATCAGACGAGAGCCAGGAACTGTAGGTGGGATCTGTGGTGGGTGGAGGAGAGGCCAGAAGATGTGGAAGTTTGCTCTGAGCGCCAATGAAGATGCGGAAAGCCTGAGCCCAGAGTAGATAGTTTGTACCATTCAATTTTATTGTAGTCTCCAAGACTACCTTGGGCGCAGAAGTCTGACCAGCAGCAGCAGAGGGAGATGTAGAAGAGGAGAGATCTGTTTCCGACATTGTTGCACAATAGTGGTAGGCAGATAGTAGTCAAATAATCAGGGCAGTAGTAGAGATCTGTTCTTTAAACCAGCGCGGTACTGTAGCAGCACGGCTAGTGGTGGCGGTAGTGCCGGCGGCAAGGAGAAGAGGCGGCGGCGGCTAGGGTTTTTGAATGAGGATTTGTGGCGGCTAGGGTTTCAAGCTCTGATACCATGTAGAAAGAGATAATTGAGAGAGCAAAAACCCTAACTTCATTGATTTATTCAGATACTAGAGAGATATATATATAGTCATACAAATAGGGGTATGGTTAACGGGTCACAGCCCATTAACCCAATACCCAATAGACTTAGTCTAACAAAATTCATATAGATTAGTTCTATGATTGCAATCACATATTTTGATCATAGGGCAAATTGCAATTTGCAACAATATTTATCATCTATAACATCAGTCACGTGTCATTTCTCTATCCATATTTGTCATGCTCGGAGGTTGCATTTTTAGAGAGATAAATTCCGGATATCACCATTTTTCCAATCAATTGAGAAGTGGTAAATGCTCTCAACGATAATTTGTACCTTAGTTATGAAGGAAATCCCTTGCTGAATACATGCAAAATACGCAGCGAAAGATTGTATGTATAAAAATGCAAAGCATGTAGAGAGAGTGAAATCTACATTAGGACCATCCTAATTAAATCTAACATGATCCCTGTATTAAAGAGAGCATCCAATAGTTAGAAAGTCATACTTTCGAAGAAAGTCATACTTTCGAAGCGTGATTCGATGCTAGATCGAACAACCCCTAGGTCATGCTCCTTGTTGTAGTAAACCTCCTCGTGGTGGATCTTCAAAACTTCAAGTGGACTTAGAAAAATAGAGGCTTCTTGAGACACAAGGCAAGATATCTACCCCGAGGTTCTTAAAACCCTACTACTTCCTCTTACTCAAAGATTGCTAGAGTTTAGTAAGAGGTAGAACTCTCTTATTCTCTTATGGAAAACAACTTAGCCAATTTTTTATTCGTTCATTCATTAACCTTTCCATAAGAGAGAGAGAGAGGGAGAGAGAGCTCATATTTATAGAGTAAGATATGTCATGACTCATCTCATGAGTCATGGCATGAGTCATCAAAAGTAACGATTCTATTCATGAGTCATGCAATGACTCATCTCATGAGTCATGCAATGAGTCATGAAAAATCAAAACCATGTGCTTAAAACCATGTTCCCAAACCATATCACTTAATGACTCATCTCATGACTCGTTAATCATGGTATAATGAAATGTGTATTTCATAAATGAAAATACCACATCATTATTACTAATACGGTATTTCATAAACACGGTATTTGATATTTTTCTAACCTTTAACTAATAAGTCATCATATAACCAAGAAGTCAACCAGTTGACTAAAAATTAATTGTTGACTAAAAAGTCAACCAGTTGACTAAAAGTCAACCAGTTGACTAAAAGTCAACTTATGGGGAAAATGCTGGAATTGATTTCTTAAGCACATAGCATCTTGATTTTACCGATACATATAACAATTTATGTGTATCCAGTGAAAATCATATATACGTATCAATCATACGCATTACTCTATAAATTATATTTCATAGGATTCAAGTACGCGCTTCGTGTGACTCTAGGGCCCAACTTAAAAACTCGGCAGTTGATCATATTCACAAGTATAACAGATGTGCTAGCTACACATGGAGACTACCCGGATATAAGTTATGATAAAGGTCTGTAAGATGCTTACCCAATTTTATCAGGATCACTCAGTGATAATAACATATAGTCCGGTATCTTCGTTAAACCATGTCAAACTATCGAGCCTAGGGTATGGTAAACTGTCAAACCCTAATAGCTTGATTAGTGTTTATTGATATTAAACTCATAACCTATAAGATCAAACTGACACTCAGTTTATCTTATTCACCTCGGCCAATGATTTTCAGGTTATAGTTGTTTGGGGAGAAAGTTGATTTGTTCATTGCTGTGTTCATTACAACTTCAAACGTTACAATGAAAATACAAAAAGATAGTCTTTTTATAAGACTCTTAAACAATGAAAATACAATTCTCGTCAAAACAAACGCAGAGATAGTTTATCGGTCTTCTGCTTACGTGGGATCTTGGCCTGTGACGGGGACGTTGATATCCGTGGACCACCAAACGATCAGATCAGATCCGGAGCTTAGTTGATTCGCGAAGAAATCAAGAAACCGAAGCAATTATTTTGGCAACAGCGAGATAACCACTCTTCACGAGATCACTGCAATGGGGCAATCTCAAGGAAAAGAACCGGCCTGCAGATCTATCGAACTCTCCTTCTTTATACCGAAGAATTCGCTGAAATCTCCTCCTCCTCTCTGAAATTCGTGGGTCTTCAGTCTCCAATTCAGCAGGGCTTCGCCAACGCTCGAGAATTCCAGCTTCGAAAAAATGAAGGCCCTGAGGCTGTATTTATAGGCTTCGGGACCCTGTTTTTGGATAAGAATAGCCGATTCCCTCTTATCCTCAGTTGTAACCACTTAACCACGTTCGTGGATGATATCAGATCAGTTAAAATAAATCTAGACGGTTAACGATCGAAAAACAACTTTAAACAACCAAAATCAGCTTTTTCGGGTTGCAGACACCCGTGGGTGTCTCGGCTTGGTCGAGACACCATTGGGTGTCTCGGCTTGACCGAGACACCTATGGGTGTCTTGGTTTGGCTTAGGGCTTAGTTTCGTGCATTCCGTCTGTTTTCTTCGTATCTTTGCCGTCCGAACTCGGAATTACGTGGTTCAAGATGCGTTGGAAAGCCGATGAGGAGATCTACGAGCTTCCATGATTGAATCACATGTGGAGTAAATAGGACACGAGGGGCGTTTCGTCTTTCGTAAGTGACGCGGAGCTCCCGATCAGTTCATGTTTCCGTTATTCCGAAGTTCCGTTGTTTCGCATGGTCCGTCGACTCACTTCATGCGTTTGTCATCATCAAATAAGATTCTGTGACTCGAATAACAATGTTCATCATCTTCTCTTTGTCTTGAGCCCCGTGCGGGGACCTATAGGTAATTTTTGATGCCTACAGATACCCCCTCCAATGTTCATCGTCTTCTGTAACATTATATTTTCTTTAAAAATATAATGTTTTTTAATCAATAAAGATTACACACATCATCTACAACCATATATTTCATGTTATTGGATCAAAATATTTACCAAAAAATTGATCCGTATATAAATAAACTACCATTTATATTTTGCTAATATTTAAATGTGGAATATGCACGTACTTGGTTGATCAAGCTAAATGTATTTCATATCTTCAAAAAAAATCCATTTTATTGGTCTGATTCCTCCAATTTAAACCCCCGTTCTTATTTAGCATCCTCATACATATGAAGGCAGAGAGAGAGAGAGAGAGAGAGAGAGAGAGAGAGAGAGAGAGAGAAGTTATCAAATAGATCCGGATCAATCCTGCAATCCGGTTTTCGCCCAAATCGCATTTCTGACCCGACTCAGATCTCTCCCCTTCAATGTCCTCCCAATCCCTTCCACCACCGACAAAGACGCCGCCCTCCTCCTCATCACTACCTCATGTGGAGGTACAATTGCCTCCTCCTCCTCCTCCTCCTCAAACCCTAGCTCTTGCAACATAATTTTTGGCTAGTCAGGTATATTGACCGGTGTCGAACCCAAACGAGAGCCGGAGCCAGAGCCAGACCCAGTCTTAATCTTGCTCCATGCAGACCGAGACCACGGGACCGAAGATTTATTATCGTCTTTTGATTCGTCGAAGCCAGAATTACTGAGAGAGCTAGAGCCGGAGGCAGAACGGACACGAGGGTCGGTCCTTCTCCCAGACCGCGACCGGTGAACAGGAAATCTCTTGTCGGGTTTCGACGCGGAGTACTGGACGCACCAAACATCCGCTTCGTCGAACTCCTCCTCGGTTGGTGAGCCCACGACGCCCTCGACCTTTCTCGGAGGGGAGAAGAGGCGGACGGTACTGTGCTTGAGGACTTGCTCATGGTTCCTCGAAGTGGCCGCCATTTTTGCGGACTGGTCCCCGGATTCTTGGAGAATTTGGTGCAGCAGTTGATTCGTGATGCGGGCGGAGTGGGAAAATTTGAACGTTGGAGAGCCGGTCTTATAGAGTTTAAGGGGCTGTTTGGTTCGCATTTATTCCCCGTGGAAAACCTTTTAAACCCCTCCATGTCGGTTTTTTCCTTTCCACCTCAATTTTTTATTTCCGCACTTTTTCTTCCTCAGCTTTGTTTCGCTAGGGCTGAAGAGGGAAATGAAGCGGAAAATCGCCACCACTTAGGTTTTTTTCTTCGGCCCCGATTCCTTCCCCATCCGAGTGAAATCGATGAAAACCTGGCCACGTCG